CCCCAGCAGGAGGACCATGATGACGAAGCAGGGGGCCCAGAGGTGGGGCAGAGTTATCATGACTATGGAGCTTGGATACACGATGGACATCAGGTCAGGACCCGCACAACCAGACACAGACTCAAGGATGACATTAAACACTTAAAAGTAAAAGAAAATGTTCCTTTGGGTAAGTGAATATTTTACACTCTTAAGCATGGGATAAACGCATCCTTAGGGTAAATTAAATGGTTTTCATTCCACAATCTTCTAAGGTTTACATTTAGAATACACACTCCAGTCAGGAGAACCAGAGTGGCATGGCAGATGTCATGAGACTGCAGCTCACCAGACTCGGCCACCAGCAAGATGTCCACTCCCTGCTCATATGCCATGAAATGCAACACAGAGAAGAAGAAATTCCAGCCACAAAGCTGGTAGTGCTGTTGAGGAGGCACAGGTAGGAGTCTCTGTATGAAGAGGGACCATGGTGTCATTTCATCCCAATCCTCAGCCACCCTAGTGTGGAGACTGAGAGACACTTGCGGACTTACTTATAAATACAAAAATAGATGTACTTATAAGGAAAGGCATATAAGAAGTCTCTGTATAAGATGATTTATTTACCCTTTAATATACAATTATTTCTTGAATTTTATCTTTGACCTCCATAGTTATTGATATACTCAACATTTTGCGATAAAGACTTGTACTTTTTGATAAAATGTTATTACATGTATGACATCAAATAATCATGTGGTTGTTGTCCCAAATAAGAACGTTTATGATAAGAACTGTTCTTGGCACTGCAGTAGTGAAAGTCTAGAAGTTTTCATGACAGATTTAATTATTCTGTTGTAGTCTCATATATTTTGTTGTATTCCCCGCTCATTGTTAGATTAGGAGGGCAAATTTGTTCAACTTCCACAAATTAGAGTCTTTCTACTATACTCTGGGACAAAGAAAACAGTCTATCATTCCAACTCACTGCAGACCCTACAGTCCTGCAACACACGAGGGCTCATATCTATCCCAAAAGCAGCTCAGTGAAATAACTATCAAGAGAGTTCTGTCCACTGTAGAGGACAAGAGATCGGGAAGGAAAAAAGGAAAAGTCAAGGAAGAATCTGTATCATCCAAAACAAACACTCCAGATTCTAAAATAAATGCAACATTTAACACAAAAAATGCAATTTCTCTATTTTTTGTGAAAACCACTAAAGAGTCTATTAAAATGTTCTGAGTTGCTCTAACTCTCTTTTGTATACTGGGCATAAATGACATTAAATGAAACGGTCTTTAAATAAAATCACTGTTAGTTGGTTCTGAGAAACAGTGGTCATAACCTCTTTACTTTTTACGAGCGTGGAAATCTTACAGTATACAGTATATGCAAATTAGGAACTTGAATAATGATGTTTCCAACATATGTAACGGGATTTGCGTATTTAAAAATATGTGTGGCTCACACAGGTGTCAAAGTGATGGAATGGGCTGGTTTACCTTGTAAAACATATGGAAATGTGCTGCCTTCCTGAAAAGTAGAGTCTTCAACCTTTGCCAATGAAATATTTAACATAATTTCTTCATTGCAACACACACGGTACAGTATGAACTCACTACAAGCAATAGACTATCACCACGCACGGGCAGAGATGTGGAATAGGGAGACATTCCATTTCTTCAGCACTGGGAGAATCAGGAGATGCTGTCCATTACCTCACAGGCTTCACCTGCAGTGCCTCCTGCTCAGCTCTAGAGACTGACTGAAGTGAGGAAGGCATGAAGCTCATATTGTATACAATTGCGTTCTGTTACACAGGCGTCACTCAAGGAAATCCATGTTCAGACAACACAGTGTTTTATGGCTACAGAAAACTTTCAATAAGCAAGGGAGAGAAGACACAGGATGAGTGATATGCGAGGTGCCAAGAGATAAGGTGTTCTTGACTCAGAATGGAAACTTTACAGCATCAATAATATAGAAAGACAAGACCATGCAGCTGCAAAGCAGAAAATACAAATTAAAAAAAAACACACCACTGACCTTTTTCACTAGAGAATTTCTCCTTTTTACCAATAAAGAATTAACTTTCTTCACTAGGACTCATTCATTGAAACATTAAGAATGTAGAACTTGAATAAGTGGATGATACCTGTTGGCGTGCTTTAGTACAACACTGCTGCCCAGTTAATGAGAGAACAAGAACTGTTCATGCTTTTATAACACAGCAGAGGTATTCTGACAGGGAAGGTATACAACCAGACCTTTTAATAAAGCTGGGCTGGGATCGCTGAATACTTTTATAAATTAATTAAAGATTTAAGGAGATGCATTTAAAAGAGAAAACCAAACACTTACAATATTGTTAATTTAAAACGTATCTTAAAAAGAAAATGTGCTTTCTGCAAATTCTTTTGGGCACTAACTGTATTTGCTTATGACCTTTCAGAAATGGAGGAGCCCAGATATTTTGCTATGTACTGTATCTGATTAAGAAGACAATAAAGGTGGACAGGGCAAGACAGAGCACAGACTGAGAAAATGTCATTCATTCTATTAGAAAACCTTCTGCCTTCTGCATAAATTATGACATTTTCACCAAATCATCTTTAAACCAAGTGCAAGATGACACACACTCTTGATATTAAAGAAGTGAAGCCTAAATAAAGTAAACACAGAGGTCACTCCAGTCGCTGAGAGCAGAGAGCCCTCGACAACTCAACTCAAGTACAGCCAATGGTACACCACCTGTTGGGCAGTCATAGTTGGCTTGTGACATGCTCCAGATTATCACTGTACTTCAGCACATTCTGTCAGTCACTCTTCATGCTCTTGAAATCAATTGCGATCAATTCTCTTGAAACTGAAGCACAATCTTACTCTGCCCGTTACTATCAGATGCGGGTATTCCTATTAAAACTCCAGTTCTACTGTCCTAAATCATCTCACTTGCTTTTATAGCACATCTTTGGAAACCTCCACCCAGCAATGGATCCACCAACAGCAAAAATGAGCTCCCACTTGTTTGCCCACTGGATCTCCTGGATCTTCTGCCCCCTCTACACCAGCCTGCTCCCCTGTCCTGGGGCCTCAGACTGGGCTCCTGCCTGCAGATCCCTGGCTGTTCCAGCTTTAGCACAGTGGAAAGACGCAGATCTCTCTCGTACAGCAAAAGAAATAACAGGAAATGCAAAGGAGAACTATGTTTTCTGAATACTGGAAAGTGAGTAACTTACTGTTCTCAAAGTCTCTGTGAAGCCCTTTATATAGAGGTCTTAATATCCAAATGTTTTGGTTATCTGGATGCAGTTTTGAAGAATTTACAAAAAAGGTATTCAATTTAAACAAAAATCTCTAAACACCATGAATCCAACAAATTTGATTGCTGTGATATTCCCAGAGTTTTATGATCTATCACTGTCTACGTCCCTCAATATTATTATTATTGATCAAAACAAGTTTGAAGAAAAACTTACTTATAGTACATGTAACACTGAGACTTTAGGTAGGAAGAAAGATCTTCCTTGTCATTAGAAGAGAAGTTAAAGAAGTAAAGGATCTTGCTTTCAAAAGAATGAACTTACTGTATGAAAATATATATTTCAAAATATTTAGATTAACACCCAAGTGTTTGGACTTGATTTCATCTTGACAGTGATGTGGTCATCTGACTTATTTAATAGCTGACTGTAACAGGGTACAAGAGCAGGGGACCATATTCGGGACTAAATCTTGATCACTCCTTGCTCCACCAGTGACATCCCAAATCCTGCAGTGGGATGTACATCTCCTCCCACACTTCTCTGCTGATACCCTGAGCTCAGGAACAGACAACACATTAACATGTTGTGTCCTTACTTTATAAATTAATTTCTTATTTATTTTAGGGTGTTCAAAAACTAGACATTTTTTATTTCCTTCCCCCCCAAAAAAAACAAGAGCAGACCACTTTAATGGAATAAAAGTAAGGATTGACCACATCAGCAGAAGCAATATAGAAATGTCAAGTGTCATGATAAAATGGGTGTTCATCTGTTATTTTCTATGGGTTCTCTTGGAAGGAAAATTCAACTCAGGTATCAAGAAGTTTTGGTGTTAAAATAACTTATTTGCAAATCAAATGGAAATGAGTAAACAAAATGCCTGCCTGCTCCCATCAGGTGTGTATTAAAGAAAGCTTCTGCAACAGCTATTCAGAGGATGAGTTAGAAAATGTCTTTTTAAAAGGTGGCTCTTTAGAGGTATACTGACATATAAAAGAAAATAATTAAATTATTTTACTTAAAACAACCAAGTGGCATATCAGAAGCACATTTATACAGTAATCTGATTAATTCATCAAAGATATTGAAACACTGTATTATTTACACTTCACCTTAATATTCTTAAATGAACATGTCTACCCCAAACACCACAGGTACCCATATTGAACCACTTTCTACACTGCTGCTGTGTTAACAGACAGAGGTGGCTGGGATGGGAGCTTCAAGGCTTCCTTCACTCTTTGGCTGTTTCTCTCTACAACTCAACAGAGCTCTGGAGTCTGAGTTCAGAGGATCACAGTTCTGTTTCTGCTTCTGATTGAGAGGCAAGTCCTGGGCATGGCGACACAACTGCTGCAGACGCTGGAGAGACAACAAGAACAGATGAGTTTGTTACAGACTCGACTCAAAGGAAGAACAAACAGATACAGGTATAGCTCAGTCACTAAAGAGGGAGGAGCAGCACCTGGGTTAGTGTTCCTGCAGTCCTGGTGAGTTTATACAGCATAACCAGAGGGACATAGATGACCGAGGAGAGAACAAGGAACCAGCCCAGGACATACGCCCAGTCTGGATACACATAGGTGCTGCTGAACTTCAGTGGGGTGTACTTGACCAGGGAGAAGATGAAGATGCCCTGAAGGAGAAAGAACATCAGTCTGACTCAGCTCCAACAAGGCAGCACAGTAGCACTGTTAATGATGCCTTAAAATGTAGAATGTCATATTACAATAGACACTGCTTTTAAAAGGGGAAGTTAATTTGAGAAAGTTTAAAACATGCACTTACAGTGCACACAGCTGGAGTGATGTAGCGCCAGCAGTACCGGAATGCGGACAAAGGCTGATAGCCAATCATGTCCTCAATGTTGGCACAGAAGAGATCAGCTCCTGCATGAAACACAGAGGTGAAGAGAAGCAGCACAATAACGACACAATTACAGATGAACCAATATATTTTGTGGTCCCATCTTCCTGGGGTAATGGTGATATTTAGAGTTATGGGCTAATGGGGACTGACTATGGGCTAATGGGGCAAACTGATTTAACTTCACTAGTCTTTAACAGTAAAACATTTTTTTTTGTAAATACGACTGTTAAAGTAATACACCTTTAAAACTCTGTTAAGATGATGACTCATAATTGAACAATGCAGGAACTGAATAACAGTAATACTAAACACCTACCATATACCCATCCAATACAAATAGTATGAAATATGGCAATAAACAAAATGCAGGTCCCATTGCAAGCATAGTAATCAACCAACTGGAAGATGTATATTCCACCCTGGAAAGACACAGACAATATTGTTATATACTGTAAATGTGAGGTGACAACTGTGATTTTTACATACAGAGGAGCAGCTTTGCATATCTTTTTCTTGGCATGATGCAGTGGAACAACTTACTGAAGCTCTTGTTTCGAAATTCTGCTCAGGGGTTTTGTAATCCCTGTGAGCTGTTAAGGTGAATCTGCTGATCACTTAATTCAAACCAGCCAATTCAGGTTGACTATCAGGCCCCTCAGCCCTTCAGTTCTCACCTCAGTGACCATGACAAGTCCGAGCAGGAAGCAGACCACACAGAAGAGGAGCAGAAAGAGCTCTCGCCGGTATCCTCTCAGGAACACCGCAGGAAACAAATCCATAATGGCCGTCATCACGGTTTCAATGCCCACAAACTGCAGAGAGCAAGATGACAGAGAGCACAGACACCTGGATCACTGAGTCAACTCACTCCCAGAACACACAGTCCACAAAGGATGCAAACACAGGTTACCACTTTGGATATAAAGTATTGTATTGACTCACAAGACTGTCTCACCTCTGTGTCCATTCCCAGCAGGAGGACCATGATGAAGAAACAGACAGCCCAGAGCTGGGGTAGAGGCATCATGGCCACTGCCCTTGGGTACGTGATGAATGCCAGGCCAGGACCTGCACAACCAGATACAGGCGGAGTCAGAAAGTGACACCAAACACTGGAAATAATTTTAATTATTTAAATCTAAGGCTTCAGAATAGAAAACTACAATCTTTATGATCTGGTTATGTATCATTTACAGTCTTAAGCCTGGATGAATCTCATCCATAGGGTAATTGAAATTATTTTCACTGGACAGCCCTCCAAGATTTGCTTTTACAAAGCACACTCCAGTCAGAGAAGAGCCAGGAGTGACAGATAGCAGATGTGGACAGACTACAGCTCACCAGACTCAGCCACCAGCGAGATGTCCACTCCCTGCTCATGCGCCATGAAGCCCAACACAGAGAAGACGGCAAATCCAGCCACAAAGCTGGTAGCGCTGTTGAGGAGGCAGAGGTAGAAGGAGTCCCTGCATGAAGAGAGACCATGGCTTAAATTATTTCATCACAAGCACCACCCACCCTAGTGTGGAAACAGAGAGACACTTGCTAACAGCAGAACCTACAGGTATAGTCTGTACTGCAAGTACAGCTCTCTGATTCTGCTCATTAGGGATAAGAGGTTCTACACAAAAATTGCAAAAATAAACAGTATGAGAATAAACTTCTTGTTAAATGACAGGCAACAGTATGGATTAGAAATGGCTTTCAATTTGTTTGTCCTTGAATTCTACAGGACTTTTATGTATTTTACTCTTACCTGTAGCAGTTGTTGTTGTATTTGTTGTAGCTACTAAGTGCTATTAGCATTCCTTCACAAATACTATAAGAGAAGAAAATCTGTGTGGCTGCATCCATCCACACCTAGGATAGACAAGAGCACAGGTTTACAAAACTGTATGGTAACTTATTAGAATACTATGATTACATGAGTGTGGAGGATACACAACTTCATTCTAATTAAATGATGTTATTGAAATTATCACAATGGTGCAATCATTGGTGCTTGATTTTTATCATCAAGCTACAGGTAAACAGTACAAGACTTTGTTTCAGCCTCTGAGCCTTTACTTTTACAAGCAAAGAAAGAGGAGATATTACAGCTTTGAGTTGAATAAAATCAATTTAAAATAAAATTAAAACATTTCATCTCACTCGCTAGGAAAAGACTTCATAGTAGTCTTATTTCAGGTTAATCTCAAGGTATACATACAGTATTATTAAGTGTTGAAGTCCTATGTGTCACCTGTGGGTCAGTGAGCCGTGTTACATCAGGGTAGAGGTAGAAGACCAGTCCATGAGCAGCTCCAGGCAGGGTGAGTCCTCGGACCAGCAGCACCACCAGCATCACATAAGGGAAAGTGGCTGTGAAGTACACCACCTGAGGAGGCAGGGAAACCATTGATATATGGAGGGTTAATTTCAAATCTGCAACTAATTCATTGTAATACCATAGAGAAAATCAACAATGCGTTTTATACCTCAAACAACAATGTTGAGAAAGTATCTGATGAAACTAAGAATTTTTGCAGCTCAAAAGCACAAGCCTCACCTTCCCTGTGGACCTCACTCCCTTCCAGACAGAGAAGTAACAGATGATCCAGGCCAGCAGGAGACACAGGGCCAGTTCCCATCTCAGACTGCCCACCTCATCGATCCCACCAGAGATACCCAGCACCCTCCTGCTGTAGGGATGACAATGCACATTCAATATTATCGTAAAAAAGTGCCTGTAATATAACTTTAGTGATGGGTATGCCTAACATACTTCCAGAACTCCATTACAGCTGAGGTGGTCTTTTCTGCCTCTGTCCAGTTGGAAGTGAGATTCTGCTTGTCAAACTCAACACAGGCATCTGTCAGAAGACCAAAAGAATGGAAGAAGTGTGTGATCTTGTGTGAAAGACAGCAAGTACTGGTGAAAGAGCAGAAACAATAAAAGATTCTGCTACTATGGGAACTTCTAACTTTCAGCTTCAACACTTGGTGACAGTTTCACCAATGAAGACTCTGCGTATCTCAGGAGTCTTCATTTTCAATGCACTGTTTCATTTGGGCTGCTAGTGAACTCCTGTGCTCCAGTACCTGTGTTCCAGGTGTTTCTGCAGCTGGTCCAGGGCAACTCAGAGCTGAAGGAGGAGAACAGGTAGAAGAAGGCCCAGGCCTGGATGATGATGTAAACGATACTGCTGTAAGTCATTAGCACCACAGTACAACAGCCAATACCTGCAAGGAATCATGAGTGGAGATGCACTCTTAAAAGTCTGCAATTAAGCATTCAACTGTTTATAATGTTATTCTGTCTGATGTTAGCTAATAATGCTGTTGAGCACATCATTTGGACAATTGGTCTGTTGAAGGAAGGTTTATAATTTCCTGTTTGCTTATAGTGCTGCTCAACACATTTTATATGTACATTTGATAAAACGCTACAAAAATTCCATATTAAAATAGTATGTCACAGTGCTATAGGGTACATGGCTTTTTTTCCTGGACTCTTGCTTGTATTTTTGTATTTTACTAATATGTCAGTAAAGGAGTAAGCTGTCTTCAAGAGGTCTTTTTGTGGTAACAAAGAAAAGGGGGATGCCCAGGCCAGATTTGTTCTCTTGCAGAGCTCTGAGGAGATGGATGGGTTGCTGAGACAACCATCTGGCTCAGTAATAAAACTGCTCCTGACTTCCTTTATCATTCTGGGGAGGAATTACTTTCTTGTTTAGGCTTTCAGAATCCTGATGAAATTCAGATTAAGTAACTTCTTACAAATTAACTCTAATGATTGTGCAGGATAGTGATATGGAAAAGCGATTCAGTGTATGAACACAATTAGTTCACCTTCAAAGAGGGGGCAGATCTTCCTCCAGCAGGTGATACCCCCCTGGCTGGTGTACTGCCCCAGAGCCGTCTCCAGCAGGAACAGGGGAATCCCACAGGTCAACAGGAACAGGACGTAGGGGATGAGGAAGACACCTTTTACAAAGAAGAAGTATTGCAACAAAAACATCTCAAACCATATTAAGTTTGATTTTTCCACTGTTAAATACCTACCAGTCATGGTCACATTGGTGTATTGTAAGAGCTAGGATACGGTTATTTGTTCACTGAGGTAAATATATACAGTGCTGTTAAGGATTTAAGATGAAAAGATATGTTTTCTACCAGCCACTGACAAAAATAATAATTTGATTTAAATGTAAACTTTGATTGAAATACACTTGTTGACTTACTATTTATGCTTTTATCTATGACAGTCAGTCTTACTCTGTGATAGTACAATATGTCACCCATATAACATCAAGATCAAAGCCCATAATCCCTATAGTTCAACTGCCTCACTCACCTCCCCCGTTTTTGTAGCACAGGTAGGGGAACCTCCACATGTTGCCCAAACCAACAATCTGTCCAGCAACAGCCAAGATGAACTCCCTCTTGTTTGCCCACTGGCCCCTCTCCTGGATCTTCTGTCCCTTCTGCTCCAGCCTGTTCCCCTGGACTGG